ACTATGATGGCAAGAATCCATGCTGTAATCCCAAAGGCACAAAGTTCAAATCTGCTAGCTTCTCCACAGGAGAAGGATGAACAATCTTCTTCCGTGTGACTAACTGCCTCTGACAACTTGCTGGAGGGTCAGCTATGGGTCAGTTTTGACTCGATAGTGCATAACAATAACAACATATATATTTAACAACATATATATAACATACAAACATATATGTTGTTATTGCTGTAGTTATGTGCCATCAAATCGCTTACAACTCATAGCAACCCTATGTACAATATACAATAGTTCTGAACCCTGCTCTATTTTGAACCAATTTTATTGTCTCCAACATACCTACTACCCCCACTACCCTAGTCACTGAGTCAGTCCATCTCATCCAGGTCTTCCTCTCTTGCCCTGTATATAATTACATGGGAGGAGATTGTCTGTCCTTCTCCCACAGAGCAGCTGGTGCAGATTACTTTCTCCTGCAGAGCAGTTGGTGGATTTGAGCCTTTGGGTTGACAGTGCAACTTCTTATTCACTAGGCCATCAGAGCTCAGAGATGACTGATGATAGATAGATAGATAGATAGATAGATAGATAGATACACACACACATGAACACTGGGAGGGAGGAAAGCGGACATGGAATAACCCTACTCAATATCCCAAAGAGTGGAGTATATATAGATCTATTTGTGGGAAATAAGATAGAGCTGTCAAAACAAGCAAACAATAAAAAAAACCCTCATTAACTCAGCTATATAAATTGTGAAGCATAATTAACCATTATTTTTATTTTGCATTGTACCAGAAGTCAAATGAAAATAAAGATTTAAGTAGAAACAATGACAAACAAAAATACAAAAAAAAGCAGCAGTCATATCCTATCTTGTGGCAGGATCTAAAACCTCAACATCAAAATAATTTGTGACATTTCTTTTTTTCCCACACTCCCGCATCCCCTACCCACACACTTGTTCTAGTCTCATAGTAGTTTATCCCTAAATGTCCTTCTAAACTTGGCAGTTACTTGCATGGATATATTGAGCTTACAAACAATGAGAACTCCTGGATCTCTTATTCACATAAGAAAAACTATGTAAGCAGCAATGCTTTCATTAACTTTATATCTAAATTAACTAGTTCTCTGATCTGTTGAAAGATGTGTCTTCCTGTTGAGTTAACATTCTTTATATGGCACTGATAATTTTGGCTTTGTTGTTGTTAACAGGAAGGTATAAAATAAAATACTAGGTGTTTCAAAAATTAACCATTTCCTTTCCCTCTTAATTCAATTATAGAAGTATTTTATAGTGTAGAAGGGTACTATTTTATTTTTATTTTTACTCCATCAAACAGTACATAAATCCAGAAGTTTGATAAAAACCATTATATTTAACTAAAAAAAGAAAATAAATAATTTCTTCCAAAATACTAAAGAGCAATGATGTAAAGTTGAAGACTGAAGTGTGCCTGATTCAAGTCTTCTCAATCACTTGTTTTGCATCAAGAACTAGACAGTGACTAACAATGACAGAAGAAGAATTGATAGCTCTGAGTTGTGGTGTTTGGGAAGAATGCTGAATGTCCTGTGGACTGCCAAAAGAACAAAAAGATACATCTTGGAAAGATCACAGGAGGCAAAGATGATGAAGCTTCATGTCTAATACTTTGGACTTGGGACACGTTGCTAGGAGAGGATACTCTTTGGAAAAAGACATCATGCTTGGAAAGTTAGAGGGTCCAAGAAGGAGAAAATGACTCCCAAAACGATGACCTGACAGTGACTGCAGCAATGAGTTCAAATGTATCAGAGATGATGAGGATGTCACAAGATAGGAGAGGTTCAAGTATAT